GGGGTCCCTGAGGGCTGCCCGGGGGGGTCTCAGGGCGTCCCGGGGGTCCCTGAGGGGTCTCAGGGGGTCCCTGAGGGATCCCGGGGGTCTCAGGGTGTCCCTGAGGGGTCTCAGGGGGTCCCTGGGGGGTCTCAGGGGTCCCGGGGGTCCCTGAGGGCTCCCCGGGGGGGTCTCCGGGGGTCTCGGGGCTGTCCCGGGGCGGGGCCGGGGGGAGGGGCGCTCTAACGGAAGCCCCGAGCGGTTCCCGGGGCCGTTCCCGGGGGGTCCGGGCGGTGCCACCCGGGGGGTCCCGGCCCGGTACCGTCTCGGGGGTCGCCACCCATCGCGCGGCGGCGCCGGCGGCGAGCAGGACGAGGAGGAGGAGGAGGAGGAAGAGCGGCGGCGGCGCCCGCCCCGCGCCCATCGCGGCCCCTTTAAGAGACACCGGAAGCGCCGCGCGCCGGGGGTGGGCGGGGCTTGCTCTTAAAGCGGCGATGGCGCGGGAAGAGGGGACGCCTTAAAGCGGCAATGCCCGCGCTGGGTGGGGCCCGCAGATTAAAACGTTGGAATTTTTGGAAATTGAGCGGTTTTGGATTTTATTAATTTTGGTTTTATTGATTTTGTTTTTTATTGCGCTCGGCTTCTCCCCCCCACCACGAACGGGGGGACACCCCCGGCCCGCGGGGGGCGTGGCTAAACGCGGAGGGGGCGGGGCTAAAGCAGGCAAAGATTGATTGTTCCACTTTAGCCCCGCCCCGAATGGGCGTGGTCAGGTATGGCCACGCCCTAGTGCAAAAATGTGGGGAGAAAACTCCTCAGGGAGGTCCGGTCAGGGGTCAGAGGTCAGAGGTCAGAGGTCAGGGCTCGGCCAATCGCAGCAGAGGACCCGAGGCCGTGGGGACACTGTGGGGCCAGAGGGGTCAGAGGTCAGCCAGGGGTCAGCCAAAGGTCACTCAGGGTCACGCAGGGTCACTCAGGGTCACCCAGGGTCACTCATTGGTTCCTCAAGGTCACTCATTGCTCACTCAGGGTCACTCAGGGGTCAGTGGTCACTCAGGGGTCAGTGGTCACTGTGGTCACTCAGGGTCACTCATTGGTCACTCAGAGCTCATTGGTCACTCATGGTCACTCAGGGTCATGCAGGGTCACCCAGGGTCACTCATTGGTCACTCAGAGGTCACTGGTCACTCAGGGTCACTCACCGCTGCAGCCGCCCCTCCCCCAGCAGGTCGTGCAGCAGGAACGGGACCCCCAGCGCGGCGCCCGGGGGGGCTCGGAGCCGCTGCAGCTCCCGCAGCGGGACCTGGCGGAGCCGCGAGCGCCGCACCAGGGACAGCACGGCGCGGCGGCCTGGGGACGGGGGGACAGGGGGTCACGGAGCCCAGCCCGGGGTGTCCCCAGCCCCCGCTCTGAGCTGTCCCCGTGTCCCTCCATTACCCCTGTCCCTGTGTGTCCCCTGTCCCCGTGTCCCCCCCAGGCTGTCCCCCTGTCCTCACGTTAATTTTGTCCCCAAATCCCCTCTCTCCCATCCCCCAGTCCCAGTGTCCCATGTTGCCATGTCCCCATGTCCCAGTGTCCCACATCCCTGTGTCCCCAGGCTGTCCCAGTGTCCCCAGGTGTCCTCACGCGATGTCGCTGTCCCCGAAGCCCCTCTCTCCCATCCCCCAGTCACAGTGTCCCCAGGTGTCCCCATGTCCCCACGCTGTCCCCAGTGTCCCCATGTCCCAGTGTCCCCATGTCCCCCCCAGGCTGTCCCAGTGTCCCCAGGTGTCCTCACGTGATGTCACTGTCCCCAAAGCCCCTCTCTCCCATCCCGGTGTCCCCATGTCCCAATGTCCCCATGTCCCCGTGTCCCCATCCTCACGTGATGTCGCTGTCCCCGAAGCCCCTCTCTCCCATCCCGGTGTCCCCAGTGTCCCCGTGTCCCCAGTGTCCCCAAGTGTCCTCACGTGATGTCACTGTCCCCAAAGCCCCTCTCTCCCATCCCGGGTGTCCCCAGTGTCCCCAGGCTGTCCCCGTGTCCCCCCCAGGCTGTCCCAGTGTCCCCAGTGTCCCCAAGTGTCCTCACATGATGTCGCCGTCCCCGAAGCCCCTCTCTCCCATCCCGGTGTCCCCAGTGTCCCCGTGTCCCCAGTGTCCCCAAGTGTCCTCACGTAGGTACCTTCTCCCGGTAGAGCTCCAGGCTCACGACCCCCAGCACGTCCGGGCCCAGCCCCAGGTGCAGCAGCCGCACCCGGCCCCCCGTTCTGAGCCGGTTCTGTGGGGAGCGCGGGGTCAGGCCGGGCCCGGGGGGGGGTCCCGGGGGGTCCCGGGGGGTCCCGGTGCTCACCAGGTGCCGGTCCACCGCCGTCCGGTCCCGCACCACGTCGTAGAGCTGGTGGCGGAGCACGAGCGGCGGCAGCGCGTCCCCGAACAGGCGGCGGGGGAAGAGCGCGGCCACGGCCCCGAGCGCCGCCTCCACGGCCGCGGGGCTGCCTGCGGGGGGCGGCGGCGTGGGACCCCCGGGACCCCCGCCGGGACCCCCGGGACCCCCCAAATCCCCACCAGGACCCCCAAAATCCCCACCGGGACCCCCCGTCGGGGCGCGGGGGCTCCCCCGGCAGCTCCGGGCGGCGCCGCTTGGCCGCGAGGGCGCCGTCGGTGTCCCCGAAGCGGCGGCGGCGGCTCATGGGGGGGCTCGGGGGGGGCTCCGCGCCCCCCGGGAACGGCACCGGCAGCGCTGGGCGCGCGGGGATGGCGTCACTGCGGCGCGACGCTGCGCACGGCGATGACGTCAGAGATCGGTGCATGGTGATGAGTCAGAGGGTGTAACCATTGGGAGAGGAAGGGGGGGGTTTGAGGGTCAAAACCACGTGGAAAACGGGGGGGGGGGAAGGGGTTTAACCAATTGGATGAATGGACTGAACCACCGTGGAAAATGGAGGGGAGGGAGGGTAGGGCTGGAAGGAACCACAATGAGAAGCGGGGGTGAAGAATTGAAGCGAGCAGGTGCATGGACTGAACCACGTGAGATGAGGGGGGCGATTGGACAGAACCACGCCATTCCGGGGGTGGGCGGGGCCTGGCAGCGCCATAAAAGGGGCGGCGGGAGACGTTCGCGGCCTTTTTTGGGACTGGAACGGGTGAGCGGCGGGGTTGGAGGACCTGGGTGGAACTGGGGATCCTGAGGGGAAATCGGGGGATCGTGAGGGGAGACAGCAGTTTCTGAGGGGGAAGCGGGAGTTCTGAGAGGGATTCGGGGATCGTGAGGGGAGACAGGGGGTTGTGAGGGGAAAGCGGGAGTTCTGAGGGGGACTCGGGGATCGTAAGGGGAGACAGGGGGCTCTGACGGGAAACGGGGGTTGTGAGGGGGAATCGGGAGTTCTGAGAGGGATTCGAGGATCGTGAGGGGAGACAGGGGGTCGTGAGGGGACATCGGGAGTTCTGAGGGGGAATGGGGGTCGTGAGGGGAAATCGGGAGTTCCGAGAGGAGATGGGGGGGGTCTTGAGGGGAGGGTTATGACGGGAATTGGGGATCGTGAGTGGGGGGATCGGGGGTCCTGGGGCGGGTCGGGGTTCTCTGGGCAATTCGGGCTCTCTTGCCGGCGGTTGTTGGGGGGATTCTGGCTGTCTCTGAGGGGGAAGGAAACGCTGGCCCGGCGAGGCGGAGGATTTGGGGTTCCCGCTCATTTTGGGGGGCTGTCGCGGTGATGATGCCAAAGACTAGAGTCTCCGAGCCCCCTGAGGACAGCACCGGCCTGAGCGACGCCCCCAGACCCCCTTGAATCCCCCCCGGGTCCCCCCGAACCGCGGGCTCCGCCCGGCTCTCACCCCGTTCCTCCCCCGCCTGTCCTAGGTGCCGGTGACCGGCGGGACCGCGCTGAGACCCCCGGTAAGACCCCCGGGACCCCTCCCCTGCATTTCCACGGCGGCGGCGGCGATGAGGAATCGGTTCAAATCCTCCGATCCGCCGTGAGGACACACTCGCAGCGCCCTGAGCCGCCGCCGCCGCCTCTCCGGGACCCTCCCCGGGATCCTCCCGACCCTGACGCCATTCCCGGAGCACCGGGACGGCTCCCGCGGTGTTTCCCCCCACTCCCCGGCTCTAACTCTGCTTTTCTTCCGCAGCCCCGGAGGAATCGTCGGCGCCGAGAGCTCCGCCGCACGGTGGGAGGCGGGGAGGGCGCGGGTTTGGGTGGAAAAAAAAAAAAAAAGGTGATTTTGGGGCTGAGCCGGCGCCGTTGTTTCTTTGTGGGCACCGGGGGTGGGGGGAGGTGTCACGTGACCCGGCGCCATTTTAGGTGAGGGACCCGATCCTATAGGGGATTGTAGACATTCTATAGGGGATCCTAGACATTCTGTGAGGGGATTCTACACGTTCTATAGGGGGTCCTGCACATTCTGTGAGGGGTTCTACACGTTCTATAGGGGGTCCTGCACATTCTGTGGGGGATTTTACACATTCTGTGGGGGATCCTACACATTCTATAGGGGTGCCTACATGTTATAGGAGATCCTAGACGTTCTGTGGGGCATTCTACACATTCTATAGGGGATTGTAGACATTCTGTGGGGGATCCTAGACATTCTGTAGGGGATTCTACACATTGTGTAGGGGATCCTAGACATTCTATAAGAGATCCTAGACATTCTGTGGGGGATCCTGCACATTCTATGGGGGATTCTGCGCATCCTATAGGGGATCCTAGACAATCTGTAGGGGATTTTACACTTTATAGGAGATTCTACACATTCTGTGGGGGATTGTACACATTCTGTGGGGGATCCTGCACATTTTATTAGGGGTCACCTACACATCCTATAGGGGATCTTACACACACCAGTCCCTATAGATTCTATAGGGGATCCTGTACATTCCATAGGGATCTATGTATCCTATAGGGGATCCTACACATCCTATAGGGGATCTTACACACACCAGTCCCTATAGATTCTATAGGGGATTCTGTACATTCCATAGGGGTCACCTACAACCAGGGACTGACACCCTATATGTTCTATAGGGGAAAAAAAATACATTTTGGGGGAGAAAAAAAGTGGAATTTTGGGGAAAATCCCTGGAATTTTGAGAAAAAATCTTGGAATTTTGGGGGAAAATCTGTGGAGTTTGGAATTCTCAGAATTCCAGGATTTTGGGGGGGTTTTATTGGGAATTTTGGGGAATTTTTAGGGATTTTTGGGGGATTTTTGGTGAAATTTGGGAGAATTTTTTGGGGATTTTTTTTTTTTTACTTTTGGGAAAATATTTTGGGGATTTTTAAAATAATTTTTGGAGAATTTTGGGGAAATTTTTGGGAATATTTTAGGATTTTTTGAGGCTTTTGGGGGATTTTTTTTATTATTTTTGGGTGAAATATTTTGGGAGTTTTTTGGGAATTTTGGGGGAAATTTTGGGAATATTTTAGGGCTTTTTGAGGCTTTTTTTTGGGATTCTTAAAAAAATTTTTGGTGAAATTTTTTTGGAATTTTGGGAAATTTTTTTTTTTTTTAATTTTTGGGGATATTTTGGGAGATTTTGGGAATTTTTGGGGAATTTTCAGGACCCCTCCCCCAAAGGCGTGGGGGTCTCTCGTGGCCCCTCCACGTAAGAACCGGAGGCAGAAAATTGGGACAAAATTCCCAAAATTTGGGGAAATTCCCGGAATTCCGACGGGAACCGCCCCAGGAACGGAGCCCGACACAAAATTGGGGGAAAAAATTGGATTTTTGGGAGGAAATTTGGGGATTTTGGGGGAAAATTTGGGGATTTTGGATGAAATTTTGGGGATTTTTTTGGAATTTGGGCGATTTTTGGGATGAAAATTGGAATATTTGGATTAAATTTGGGGGAAATTTTGGGATTTTTGGGAATAAATTTTGGGTTTTGGGGGATTTTGGATGAAATTTTGGGGATTTTTAGGATGAAAATTGGAATATTTTGATTAAATTTGGGGTTTTTGGGAATAAGTTTTGGATTTTGGGGGATTTTGGATGAAATTTTGGGGATTTTTTGGAATTTGAGCGATTTTTTGGATGAAATTGGAATATTTGGATTAAATTTGGGGAAAATTTTGGGAATAAATTTTGGATTTTGGGGTAGAATTTGGGGATTTTGGATTAAATTTTGGGGATTTTTTGGAATTTGGGCGATTTTTGGGATGAAAATTGGAATATTGGGATTAAATTTGGGGGAAATTTTGGGAATAAATTTCGGATTTTGGGGTAAAATTTTGGGGTTTTGGGGGGATTTTGGATGAAATTTTGGGGATTTTTTGGAATAAATTTTGGGTTTTGGGGGGATTTTGGATGAAATTTTGGGGATTTTCTTGGAATTTGGGCGATTTTGGGGATGAAAATTGGAATATTGGGATTAAATTTGGGCTTTTGGGGGGAAATTTTGGGAATAAGTTTTGGATTTTGGGGGGATTTTGGATGAAATTTTGGGGATTTTCTTGGAATTTGGGCGATTTTGGGGATGAAAATTGGAATATTGGGATTAAATTTGGGCTTTTGGGGGGAAATTTTGGGAATAAGTTTTGGATTTTGGGGGGATTTTGGATGAAATTTTGGGGATTTTTTTTCAATTTGGGAGATTTTTGGGTTGAAAATTGGAATATTTGGATTAAATTTGGGCTTTTGGGGGAAATTTTGGGAATAAATTTTGGATTTCTGGGTAAAATTTGGGGATTTTGGATGAAATTTTGGGGATTTTTTGGAATTTGGGCAATTTTTGCCATGAAAATTGGATTTTTTTGGTACAAATTTGGATTTTTTTAGGATGAAATTTTGAATTTTTGGGGATTTTTGGATAAAATTTTGGATCTTTTTGGGATGAAATTTGGGGTTTTTTTTTAAATCCAGGATTATTTTTTTTTAATTCCAGGATTTTTTTGTTCAATTTGGGGTGAAATTCTGGAATTTTGATGGAAATTTTGGAGAATTTGATGAAAATTTCAAATTTTGGGGATGAAATTTGGGAATTTTGGAGACAAATTTGAAGAATTTTGGGGTAAATTTCAATTTTTTTATTAATTTGGGGGAAAATTTGTATGAAATTTGGGAATTTTGGGATAAATTTTGGGATAAATTTCAGGAATTTTGGGTCTCTCCCCCCTGCAGGTCGAAGCCACCGAGGGACAAAATCTGGAGTAAAAAAATTGGAATTTTGGGGCTTTTTTTTTGGAGTTTTTTAGGGAATTTTGGAGCTTTTTTTAGGGAATATTTGGGATTTTTTTTTGAGATTTTTTGGGGCTTTTTTGGAGTTTTTAAAGGAATTTTTGTTCCATTTTTTTCAGCCTTTTTGGGTTTTTTTTGAGGTTTTTAAAGGAATTTTTATTCCATTTTTTTCAGCTTTTTTTGGAGTTTTTAAAGGAATTTTTGTTCCATTTTTTTCAGCCTTTTTGGGTTTTTTTTGCAGTTTTTAAAGGAATTTTTGTTCCATTTTTTTCGGCTTTTTTTGGAGTTTTTAAAGGAATTTTTGTTCCATTTTTTTCAGCCTTTTTGGGTTTTTTTTGAGGTTTTTAAAGGAATTTTTGTTCCATTTTTTTCAGCCTTTTTGGGGCTTTTTTGGAGTTTTTAAAGGAATTTTTATTCCATTTTTTTCAGCCTTTTTGGTTTTTTTTTGGAGTTTTTAAAAGAATTTTTATTCCATTTTTTTTCAGCCTTTTTGGGGCTTTTTTGGAGTTTTTAAAGGAATTTTTATTCAATTTTTTTCAGCCTTTTTGGGGTTTTTTTGGAGTTTTTAAAGGTATTTTTATTCATTTTTTTCAGCCTTTTTGGGGCTTTTTTTAAGATTTTTTTTTCTCTTTTTTCCAAGATTTTTTTTTTCACCTTTTCGGGACAATTTCCCATCTTTAAATAAAAAATCCTTCATTTCTTTCCTTCAAATAAACCTTAATGAACTTTTCCATGTAAATTTATTTAAATCAATCCTTTCTTTCCCTCCAAAATTCCCAATTTCCCCCCAAATATTCCACTTTTTTCCCCAAATTTCCCCCCAAAAAATCCCTTTTTCCCCCCAAAAAAATCCCTTTTTTTTCCCTCTATAATTCCCGGGGTTTTCCCCATAAAATTCCCGCCTTTCCCCCCCAAAATTCCCAAATTTTTTCCCCGGGAATGACGCAAAATCCGTGACTCAAAATTCAGGAATTTCCCCCACCCCGCCATAGTGGGCGTGGCCTCCATAAACCCCGCCCCCTCCGCTCTCCACCAATCAACTCTCACCGTGGGCGTGGCCTCCGCCGCCTGTTATAACCCCGAGGCCGCGGGTTCGAATCCCGGCATTTCCTTTCCGCCATGTCGATGGTAGCGGCGGTCGCGGCCACCGCGAGGTGTCCGGGACGGATTTGGGGACATCCCGAGGGTGTCCCCAAGGGGGTGGCACCGTCCCCACCTCGTCACTTCACCTTCGAACCCCTCCCGACGCCCCCCGGCCCCTCCAGGCCTCGGCGGCGGCATCGGCGCGTTCTTTATCCGCCCGCTGTGAGTATGGGAGGGATTTTTTTGGGTTTTTTTTAGTGGGGTTTTGCCTGAATTTGGAGATTTTGGGGTGGTTTGGGTCATTCTCTATCCCTTATGTCCCCTATAGATATCAGGAGTCGCCTATAGCCTCGCTTAAACCCCCCTGGACTCGCCCAAATTCGCCAAAAACTTGGAAAATTTGTCCAAAACTTCCAAAATTTGCCCCAAACCGCCTCCAAATTCGCCTCAAACTTCTAAAATTTGCCCTAAATTTTCCCAAACTCGCCGCGATCTCCCTCGAAATGGCCCTGAACCCCCTCAGATCTGCCCTGAACCTCCCTCAGTTTGTCAAACTCGCCCTAAACCCCCCCAAAATCTCCCTAAACCCCCAAAAACTCGTCCTAAACCCCCCCAAACTCGCCCTAAACTTCCCCAAATTCTCCCTAAATTTCTCAAACTCGCCCTAACCCCCCCTAAATTTGCCCTAAACCCCCAAAAACTTGTCCTAAACCCCCCCAAACTCGCCCTAAACTTCCCCAAATTCTCCCTAAATTCCTCAAACCCGTCCTAAATCCCCCCAAATTCGCCCTAAACTTCCCCAAATTCTCCCTAAATTCCTCAAACTCGTCCTAAACCCCCCCAAACTCGCCCTAAACTTCCCCAAATTCTCCCTAAATTCCTCAAACCCGTCCTAAATCCCCCCAAATTCGCCCTAAACTTCCCCAAATTCTCCCTAAATTCCTCAAACTCGTCCTAAACCCCCCCAAATTCGCCCTAAACTTCCCCAAATTCTCCCTAAATTCCTCAAACCCGTCCTAAATCCCCCCAAATTCGCCCTAAACTTCCCCAAATTCTCCCTAAATTCCTCAAACTCGTCCTAAACCCCCCCAAATTCGCCCTAAACTTCCCCAAATTCTCCCTAAATTCCTCAAACCCGTCCTAAATCCCCCCAAATTCGCCCTAAACTTCCCCAAATTCTCCCTAAATTCCTCAAACTCGTCCTAAACCCCCCCAAATTCGCCCTAAACTTCCCCAAATTCTCCCTAAATTCCTCAAACCCGTCCTAAATCCCCCCAAATTCGCCCTAAACTTCCCCAAATTCTCCCTAAATTCCTCAAACCCGTCCTAAATCCCCCCAAATTCGCCCTAAACTTCCCCAAATTCTCCCTAAATTCCTCAAACCCGTCCTAAATCCCCCCAAATTCGCCCTAAACTTCCCCAAATTCTCCCTAAATTCCTCAAACCCGTCCTAAATCCCCCCAAATTCGCCCTAAACTTCCCCAAATTCTCCCTAAATTCCTCAAACCCGTCCTAAATCCCCCCAAATTCGCCCTAAACTTCCCCAAATTCTCCCTAAATTCCTCAAACCCGTCCTAAATCCCCCCAAATTCGCCCTAAACTTCCCCAAATTCTCCCTAAATTCCTCAAACCCGTCCTAAATCCCCCCAAATTCGCCCTAAACTTCCCCAATTTTATCCCAAAATGGGATTAATTTGCCTCAAAATGGTATTAATTTGCCCCAAAAAATAAATTATTTACCCCAAGGGGCGTTAATTCCCCCAAACCCTTTCTGAAGCTAAGCAGGGTCCACCCGGGTCACCCCTTGGATGGGTTCCCCATCCTAACTAGGGGAATATTTACCTCAAAAAAGGATTTATTCCCCCAAGTGGCATTTATTTACCCAAAACCAGAGGGAATTTTATCTCAGAGTGGGAATTATTTGCCCCAAAATTAGAATTATTTGACCCAGGGGGGTTAATTCCCCCAAACCCTTTGTGAAGCTAAGCAGGGTCCACCTGGGTCACCCCTTGGATGGGTTCCCCATCCTAACTAGGGGAGTATTTACCCCAAAAAGGGACTTTTTTCCCCAAAAATGAATTCATTTTCCCCAAAACAAATGGAATTTTATCCCAAAATGGGATTAATTTGCCTCAAAATGGGATTAATTTGCCCCAAAATATAAATTATTTACCCCACAGGGCGTTAATTCCCCCAAACCCTTTGTGAAGCTAAGCAGGGTCCACCCGGGTCACCCCTTGGATGGGTTCCCCATCCTAACTAGGGGAGTATTTACCCCAAAAAGTGACTTTTTTCCCCAAAAATGAATTCATTTTCCCCAAAACAAATGGCATTTTATCCCAAAATGGGATTTACTTGCCCCAAAATATAAATTATTTACCCCAAGGGGTGTTAATTCCCCCAAACCATTTGTGAAGCTAAGCAGGGTCCACCCGGGTCACCCCTTGGATGGGTTCCCCATCCTATCTAGGGGAGTATTTACCCCAAAAAGGGACTTTTTTCCCCAAAAATGAATTGATTTTCCCCAAAACAAATGGAATTTTATCCCAAAATGGGATTAATTTGCCCCAAAATATAAATTATTTCCCCCAAACCATTTGTGAAGCTAAGCAGGGTCCACCCAGGTCACCCCTTGGATGGGTTCCCCATCCTAACTAGGGGAGTATTTACCCCAAAAAGGTATTTTTTTTCCCAAAAATGAATTAATTTTCCCCAAAACAAATGGCATTTTATCCCAAAATGGGATTTACTTGCCCCAAAATATAAATTTTTTACCCCACGGGGCGTTAACTCCCCCAAACTCTTTGTGAAGCTAAGCAGGGTCCACCCGGGTCACCCCTTGGATGGGTTCCCCAACCCACCTTTCCCCATCTCTAATCCCACCTCCCACACTTTTCCCACTGGGAATTTTCCCCAAAATTCCGGTAATTTCCCCCAAAATTCCGGGAATTTCCCCCATCCCGGCGATCCCTGACCCCAATTTGGGAATTTTTTTTCCCCTTTTCAGGTGCGTCGCCCCCTCCCCTCGGAAGAACCCAGCGCCGCCAAGCGACTCCTGCTGCTCCTCTTGGCCGTGGTGGGCACCCAAATCTACAACGCGCCGGGTGACGTCGCCGACGTCACCTTGGGGGGCACAAGGACACCCCTGGGGACACCCCTAATCCCGGAGGGACCCCAAATTCCCGCCGGGAACGCCAACGGGACGACGGTGGCGGCACCCGCGGGTGGCTCCTGCCCCTCGTTGTTGGTGTCACCGCCGTTGTCACCGCCGTTGTCGCCCCCTGCTGGCACCAGGACACGATGAGGACCCCCCCCCACCCAAAACTGGGGGGGCGTCGCCCAGGACCGCCACGCCCTCCTGGATTAATTAACGAGGTCGTTAATTAAGGTCAAAGAGCTCCAGGGTTGGAAGAAGGCGCCGATGTTGGACGATCCCAGTTTGGAACTGGGAGGACTGGAAAGGGGCGGAGTCATGGATTGAGGGGGGGGGTTTCCCATTCCCTAACTAATTAGCTGGTTAATTAACGGCTAATTAATGAGCAGCTCATTAAGTAGCTACCGATTAAGGTGGGAACAAGCCCCATGCTGGAATTTTGAGGTTGCCCAATCCCAGTTTGGAACTGGGAGCACTGGAAAGGGGCGTGGTCAGGTTGGCCTCGTTAACGAGGTTTTAATTAATGAGGTCACCTCTACCTCAGCTTCAGCGCCTGTGGCTGCTGAGTTTATTAGTTAATTATTACTAATTATTTATTTGCTATTTATTTATTATTTATTTGTCACTATTTATTTGTCACTATTTATTTGCTACTATTTATTAATTATTTATTGATTAATTACCTCTGGATTATTTATTGCGATCCCATTTCAGGGGCATTGTTTAATGTTTAAATTAATTAAACTCATCAGTTGAATTAATTAACGGGAGTTGTGTCTTCACTGGAATTTCCTGTGGTCAGAATAGGGGGAAAATTATGGAAAAATCCCAATTTTTGGCCATTTTATTCCTAAATTTTAATGAAAAAAAAAGGAGAAAATCCCAATTTTTGGCATTTTCAGCCCAAGTCGGATTTTTATTGACCCGACACAGAGAATACAAAGTCACAAAAGTAACAAAAAACCAAAAAAAAAAATCCATTTTTTATTTTAAAAAACAAGAAAAAAAAGGTAAAAAAAGTTTGTTCCCATTTTTTGGGAAAAGCAAAAAAAATCGAAAGGAAAATCCAATTTCTCCTCTCAAACCCACATTTAGTGGCACTCATGACCCAAATTTGGGAATTTTTTCCCAAATTCTGGGGTTTTTCCCTAAATTTTAACTTTTCCCCAAATTTTGAGGTTTTCCCCCAAACTTCATAAATTTTTTTCCCAAATTTTTAAGGTTTTTCCCCAATTTTTTAAGGTTTTTCTCATCAATTTTTAAGCTTTTTGGAATTTCGATGTTTTTCCCAAATTTTGATACTTTTCCCAACTTTGGGGGTTTTTCCCCAATTTTTGGGGGTTTTTTTCCAATTTTTGTGGTTTTCTTTTCCAATTTTTTTGGTTTTTTTCCCAAATTTTGGGGTTTTTTTCCCCCAAATTTAGGAACTGGAAGATTGGAAAAAGCCCCCAGTGTTGGGTTGGCCAACCCCAGTTGGGCACTGGGAGCACTGGGAATGACGGGAATTCCCCCTCCAGTCATTAATTAGCCAATTAATCATCCCCTAATTAATCAGAGATCGTTAATTAGCCATGAAAACTCAATGGGACCAACCCAAGGTTGGGTCTTGTGTTGGCCAAGCCCAGTTGGGCACTGGGAGCACCGGGAACGCC